ATTCCTGCTTTCCTCTTTTGGCTCCTGTCTCTATTTGCTTGGCCTGTCATCATTCCTCCTGCAGCTCGCTGTCACTTGATGAGATTGGTCTGAGGGCCCTGGAGCCCATTAACTAATTGCTTACTGTCGTCTGGCGCTCCCACCCATCCTGCCCAGCTATTGCTCAGCACTTAACCTGCCACCCCGGCGGTCACCCCCCCCGCGAAGGTGGCAGCTCAGGGGCAAGCAAGAGACACAAGGAAAAGATGAGGTTGCAAGGACATTGGGTGGGGGTTTATCGCAGGGGTTAACAGCCCTTGGGGATGTTCTGGGTTGTGGGGGGCTGCCTGTGCACGAGTCTTGGAGCCCTGCAGGAGAGGGCGGTGAGCTGCCTTGCAAAGGGAGTCGCTTATTGAACCCGCTGGTAGCTGAGGCACTGTCACCAGTGGTGGACTGAAGGGCAGCTGCAGTCTTGCACCCAGTCTCCTCACCTTTATTTTGTCTTGTAGACTGAGCCAGAAATCAGGCAGGGTGGGGGTTGTGGCCAGAACAAGGAGCACATTCAGATGTGGTGACCTTTGGGTGCTGAGCTTCAGCCCCAGAGCGGTGCAGTTCTGCCGTGTTTGAAGCTGTAGCCCCTGGCCGTCCAGCCAAGCAGCCATCAGTGCCACGTCCCTCGTTGTCTCCCTGGTTTGGGTCCACCAGACAAGAGGAGCGGAGGCACCAGCCCGAAGTCCAGTCCCCAGCATGTGCTTGTGTTGTGGGGTCCATCCTCAGATATATCCTGCGGTGTCCAGCGGGACTGCTGAGCAGCTCCCGGGTGCAAAACTGCGCCCGCTGCAAAATTGCCATGTGTTTGTGAGTGTTTGGCCATCGCCAAATGGGTGATGCGCCACTGAATCTGGCAGTGGGTCGTGCTTCCTCCCACTGCCTGCTCCTCTCCGGGGAGGAGAGGTGAGCTTGCAGCACGCAGAAGGACTTAGCAGGTGACTTTTGTCCACTTGCCTCCAGCAGCAAAATGCTACAGCATCTCAAGGACATCTCCGTTGTGCTTCCTATCCCAGCCTGAATGCCAGAGGGGTATTTATTAGCTACAATTCAAAATGCTAATTAATAAAAGTCCTTGACTCTCTCCTCTGGAGAGATTGGTGGGAGCCCTTTCCCGAGCCCCGAGTGCTGGCAAGCCGCCAGCGTACCAATAACGAGATGAGGGCTGTGATAGACGGCTGGGCTGGATCAGCCGTGATGGCGTGTCTGGGGTTTGGCCGGATGTCATCATTCATCCAGCAGATAAATACTTTTCTCCGGGAATTTGAAAGGGAGCCAGGCCATGAACAGAGTGGAAAAAAAAAAAAAAAAGAAAAAAAAAAAAAAAAAACAAGAAAAGGAAAAAAAAAGTCAGCTTTTTCTGCTGGGTGGCTGAAAGGCGGGAATGTGGGAGGGGAAAAAGGACTGGTAACGTGCTCAGTGCCGAGCCAAGCAGCCACTCTCGCGGCACCATGGCTGTTCCCCGTTCCTCGCCTCGGCTTCCCTGGCTGAGACCTGGGGTCACAGCACGCCCCCGGGAGTGGTGGCTGGTGGCAGTGAAGGGGACATGCCTTTGGGTGCTGTTGGATGCACCCTCTGCTTGATTTTTTCTGGGGCAGGGGTAGAGGATCCACCTAACTCGCATCACCCCAAAATGTGGAAACAATTTCAGGAGCCACAGAGTTCACTGCAGTGTGTGGAGCTCCGAGTTTAACTGTAAAGGGTGAATTTAGTCATTGGATCTGGCAGTGTTTGGGAATGGAAAGAGGAGGTTGGATAGCCCGTGCATCTATCTCCGGACCCCTGTGGTGTCTGCTCTCCCCGACCCTGGAGCTCTTCCTGGGCTGAGCCAGGGCTTTCCATCTGCTTCCCCGCAGCGCCGCTCCCTTCAGTGTGCTGTTGGGAACACCAACAAAAACAGGTCACTGCAGCTGAGTTCCTCAGCCCTTCTTAATCTCTCGCCTGCTCTACAAGCCCCAGCCCTGCCACTGGCATGCGTAAAGGGAAATCAAGTGGACGAGGGCTGAGGGGAGAGGGAAA